AAACACATCGCCTTGTCTCGACCTAGTGGTTCGAGAGCTGTGTGGATATGAATATCCAGTGCTCAACCACTGTATGAGGCATCTACTGCCACACACCCCTCTCCCAAAGGATTTATAGGACAGCTTAGCCCAAATCCCAAGGAATCAAAGACCGCAAAAACAGACCCCGGAGAATCGCCGTCAGTATCTGCTCTTGATCTGGTCTAAGATCTTCAAGAGTCACCATCGCACGGCCCGGAGGATCGCCGGGATCACGTACTAGGTAGCTTCTCTTGGTAGTCCGCACGTCACGACCGTCGTCGTGTCGACGCTGCAGACCGTTCTTCTAGTTGCTTGAGCTCATCAGCCAGACCATCCCGCGCTCGGGGGTCTGCGACTTGCTCCGCAAACTGTCGAGCAACCGCAGGGGCATCCGTCGCGATCGACGTGAACAGCTCCCACGATGCTTCGATGTCTTCCAGGCCTTCCCATAGGCAGAGGATCTCCCACCGCCGGGCACTGGTTGAGCCGTACTGCCTTGATCTCACGGATCTTCAAAAGCACGCCCTGCTCGGACACGTGCTCGCGGATCTCTTGCGTGAGCTCAAAGCTGCCTTCGGCGTACGGCTTGAGGCGACTCGTATGTGCATGGCGCTCTTGACCCGAGAGGATATGACGGATGACGCACGAGTACGTCGACACTTCCGTGATCTGGAACGGGCCGAGCCATGTGACGAGCAGCTTCGGATACTCCATCTTCTCCACGCGCGACCAGAGTACGTAGTCACCAACGTGGGCGACAAACTCTTCTTGGTGCGTCTTCGCCGCGGTCTCCCGCGCTAGGCATTGTTGACGCAGGTCGTCGATCTTCTTGTGGACGTCAATCAAACTTGCATGAGCAGCAGCCATCGTGCTGACGACGTCTGGCTTTGTCCAGTCTGCCTGACGGACGAGCTCACCATCAAAGTCGCGGACCACAATGTCCAAGTTGGTAGCTGGCACTTGCCCCGTGAAAGCTTGCGTTGGGCACACACCACCAAGCGACTCGACTGGCGTCTGGTTGAGGTTGGCTTGAACCAGCGGTAGGAGATACTCCCACTGCTCAAGGTTCAGATGGTACTCACGCAGCATGACCCGCAAAACTTGGAGAATATCGCGGTTCAAGCGCTCGACGGTACCGTTGCGCCATGGCGTGTAGGTCAAAATGAAGTGGTGATCGACCTTGTAGACTTGGGCCAGCATTGCAACCACTTGGTTCTTGAAGTGACTGCCTTGGTCCGACTTGTAGACTTGGGCCAGCATTGCAACCACTTGGTTCTTGAAGTGACTGCCTTGGTCCGATACCCACACGAGGGGCATGTCAAACCGCGCAGCCCACTGCATCAAAGCGTCCACGACCGAGGCCGCGTCCGCCATGTCACACGCCACGAGCTCGCAGTAGTGCGTCAAGTCGTCTTTGATCACAAGCACGTCGTTCGACACCAGAAACTCGTCACCTTGATCGACAACGTAGCACGCCTGCAAACCAGGCACGTTGACGGGACCGGCAGCCGTGTGGAGCTGCAGATGCAATTGAACCTTCTTGTCCAGCTGCAACGCCGTCTTGCCCACAGCCACCCCAAGCTGAGGTTGGTCCAAATTGATGACTTCAAGGTTGGGCATCTTCTGCTTGAGCTGCTCGACCATCTTGGCGGGAATGATGTTCAGACCGCAACCACTGTCCGGCACGCAAGGAACGTCAAGAACGCTGTTGAGCGTCAAAACCATGTGGCCTTCGTTGCCCGAAAGGAGCTGGTCGAGACCAGAGGCTCGGAGGCGACTCAACTTGGTCTTCTTCTTGTCACCGCCCCCGTTGCCTTCGTTGCCGCCTTGTTTGCTGCCGTCGCCGCCTCCGCCACGACGACCGCCCTTCCAGTTCTTCTTGACAGCAATCGCCTTCTGCTTGGCGTTCGAACTCGGGCAGTCCCGCAATTTGTGCTTCTTGCTGCCGCCGTGCCAGCACGGACGTTCCAGGCCATCGTTCTTGCGTTCTTGTTGCACTGGCGGCTTGTTGTCCTTCTGCTTGAACTTGCGCTTCTTCTTCTTGCGCACACCTTGCTGCTCCTCGTGCGACGGTTTCTCGTCTTCGTCGGACGACTCCTTGTCACGAAGACGCTGCGTCTTGGGGCTCCACGACTTGTAGAGAAGCGCTCGCTTGAAGATGATCTTCCCGAGGTGCTTGAGGCCAGCCTGTTTGTTGGCCGCCACCTTCTCATCCATCAGCTGCTTCACGTCCGTCTGTAGCTCTTGGGGACGGAGCCGATCGACAAGTGCCTTGAAGATCTTGGCCTTGAGCTTGTCGTTCTCGAGCTTCTCGCTGAGGCCATGCTCTTCAATCATTTGAGAGGCCTTGAAAACAAAGCTGTTGACCCGCTCTTCGATGTCTTCTTCGTTGTGGTCGAGGGCGAGCGAGGTGAAAACCTTGTCGTACGTGAGCACCGTCTTGTTGGTCTCCTTGTCGATGATCCCGTTGATCGCTTCCCAAAGCTCGTTTTCAGGCACGTTCAGCAAGTTGTAGTCGTCCCAGAGGCCCCACTTGTTTTTCATCAGGAACTCGAGATACCCCACGGGAGCGAACGAGTCGCGGATCGGAACACACGTCGATGTGTAGCTCCGGTTCGTTCGCTGGCATTCGCGCCGCATCGAGGTCTCGTATTCGAGACGCGCCCGCTTCCACACGACCACGTCGCGGCGGGCGATGCTCTTGAACTCGGGATGCACCAGCTGCGATAGCACGACGACGCCGCTCATCGCCATCGCCGCTTGTCCTGAGGTCGTCATGTCTTTTTCTTGAGCGAAACTTGATCGCTGCTTGGTCGCTAAAGTCGACTTTGAGACCGTTTCCGCCTTCAAACGCCAGACAAAGGGAGGCCGTACTCCCAAACACCGGCGTGTGTACTAAGAGGCAAATAGGAAACTAGAACTAGCCGACTGCTGGAGCCCTGGCCACAGGCTCCTGTACAGTCCCATCCCAACGGTCTTCC